GAGACGGGGTTTCACCGTGTTGACCAGGATGGTCTCGATCTCTTGACCTCGTGATCCACCCGCCTCGGCCTCCCAAAGTGCTGGGATTACAGGCTTGAGCCACCGCGCCCGGCCAATATATTTACTTTATATCTGTATCAGTTACTAGACTGTGAGCTCCTTGAGGACAAGAACCACCTTCCTTTTTATAACTTCAGTGCTTTAGAGAGCCTGGCACATTAAAATAGTGCCCCTCTTAACAACCATATCCAATTTATGTTTTCATTTTTTCTTTCTTCCTTAAGGTTTGGCATAGAAATGGTACCCCTTGTTCAAAATGAACAAGAAGTCTTGGATTTGGATGGAGAACCTGATCTGTCCAGTCTAGAAGGATTCCAGTGGGAAAGTGTTTCCATTTCCTCCTCCCCTGGCTTGGCAAGAAAGCGAAGCCTTTCTGAGAGCAGTGTGATCATGGACAGAGCTCCTTCTGTGTATAGCTTCTTCAGTGAGGAAGGTACAGGCAAAGAAAATGAGCCCCAGCAGATGGTTTCACCTAGTAACTCATTGAGGGCTGCACAGAGTCAGAAAGCAACCATGCACCTCAAACAAGAAGTGACACCTCTGGCTGCCTCCCTCCAAACAGGTGAAAGGGCTGAAAATGTTGCTACCCGAAGGGGACATAGTGCACAATTACCCTCTGACCATATAATACCCTTGATGGCCTCGGCAAAAGACTTGAACAGCCAGGGGAGGTCTGTACCACCTTCAGAGAATCAGAATTCCCAGGAGAGTAATGGAGAAGGAAACTCTCTATCATCAAATGCATCCTCAGCCCTTGTGATCTCCAGTTTAGCTGATGCAGCCACAGATAGTAGCTGTACCTCTGGTACTGAACAAAATGATGGCCACAGTATTAGAAAGAAACGAAGAGCCACTGGAGTAAGTATGATTCCCTCTGCTTTTTGTAGAACATTGCATGTGGCAAGTTGGTTGTTTATTTAAAAAGGTTTTTCTTGGGTATCTCTCAACTTTTAGAATTGTGAGGCTCTTACTTTCATCCTACTGGTTTCTTTCACTGAGTAATTCTGCTAAATTAAATGTAATCTAATATGAATGTACAGTACCAGGAAAATATGAAGTCATATCTAAAACCAGTGTTCAAGCCAATGATTCTTTGTATCACCTGACCAATAATAAGTCACATATTCAGCTGTAACTCAATCTGTTTTTCATAGATGCATTCTGCACTGCTGCTGAAGAAAGGCATTCTACTGTTGCACTTGTAGGACATGGATGATTGCTGGATTCAGGAGTGCTAGGCTTAATCTCAAGATGGTTTATAATACTGCGAGAGTGCATATATATGAGCATAGTATAGAAATATATTTTAGTCTGTATAACGCTGTCTTTCATCCTTCAGTTACCCAGCCTGGCCTTTAAGAATCTTTTCTTGGCTGGGCGCGGTGGCTCACGCCTGTAAACCCAACACTTTGGAAGGCCGAGGTAGGTGGATCACCTGAGGTCAGGAGTTTGAGACCAGCCTGACCAACATGTAGAAACCCTGTCTCTACTAAAAATACAAAATTAGCTGGGCGTGGTGGCACATGCCTGTAATCCCAGCTACTCGGAGGCTGAGGCAGGAGAATCATTTGAACCTGGGAGGCAGAGGTTGTAGTGAGCCAAGATTGCACCATTGCAACCCAGCCTGGGCAACAAGAGCAAAACTGTCTCCAGAAAAAAAAAAAAAGGCATCTTTTCCAATTTAATATTGCTTAACCCTCTCAGTATCCCTTTCTGAAAAGAAAGAGTTGCTTGTGGTGATATAGTCTGGGATCTGGCACTGTGAAAAAAATGGGCTCTTCTCTTCATTATTTATTCATTTATAATATTTTAAAATTTATGTTAGAGTCGAGGTTTCACAATGTTGTTCAGACTGCTCTGGAACTCCTGGATTCAAGCAATTCTCCTGCCTCAGCCTCCCAAGTAGCGGGGACTACAAGCAATGTGTCACTGTGCTGGGCTTCTCTTTTTTAATACTGAGGTGATAAACAGAGTAGTTAAGGTCATGAATTTTAGACGTGCTTCAAATTGCAATTCTGCTCCTTTGAGCTACATGCTATATGTAGTAGGTGTTATTGAATAACTTAAAATGCACTTTAAACTGAGGAATTGTCCTCTGACAAAAAGCTTGTCTCGTGGACTGTTAAGCTTTTTGTTGTAAAGGTTTTCTTGCTGAAATTTAAAATAGAAACTAAGCCAAGATATAAATCAGATAAATATACATTACCAACTTTGTCCATACTTCTACTTCTGCCTTACTACACCACGGTGGAATGGTTTGCCTAACCTCCATGGGCTTTACTACCTCTAAAATGCTAGGAAGGCACTTTACCCTGGATTATTTTTTCTTCTTCTTTTTTTTAAATCAGATACATTTATTCAGCTAAAATTTGAGTTTGTACCATGGGCATGAGACTCCTGCGATCTTTTTAGAGATGGTAGCAGTAGCGAAGACCTGTGTATGACTTAGAATTGATTCCTTTTTCTCCTCTTGGATAATGGCTTTTACACATTGAATATTATTTTGTTTTCTTTATCCCTCCAGGATGGATCTTCTCCTGAACTCCCAAGCCTTGAGAGAAAAAATAAAAGAAGGAAAATTAAAGGAAAAAAAGGTATGGTGCAGAATATTTTGGGAGAAAGAAGTTGATGTTTTTTGTTTGGCTTTTTGGTAGCCTTGAACTCTTGGGCTCAAGGGATCCTCTTCCCTCAGCCTCCTGAGTAGCTAGGACTACTGGTATATGACACCACACTAATTCTTTTTATTTTTTCGTAGAGACAGGGTCTAGCTATATTGCCCAGGTTGGACTCAAACTCCTGGGCTTCCATGATCCTCCCACCTTGGCCTCCCAAAATGTTGGGATTACAGGTGTGAGCCACCGTGCCCAGCCCTAAGAGGTTCTGGTAGCAGTTCAGCGTTTTTACAACTTGACACAGAGCATGGCTTGTCATTTATGAAACACTGATTGTCCATTTACTTTTTTTGGACATTATTGTTGCCTCGCTTAAGGGGAAAGAAAAGTTTGATTTCCTAATACATCCAGTTACAGCTGTAAAATAAATATATGATGCCACATAGACTTGTAAGCCAAGGTTAGTATATCTCTTGGACAATATAAAGCCAGGAAGTTTCCTTGAGCCCTTTCAGTTGGATGAAAAATGTTGGCCCTCTTGGTCATGTATAGCCATTTCTTTCACTTTCTGTTTTTGAGGGATCTTGGTTGCTTCCCCTGCACCCCACCTCAACACTCCCTTTCTTGGTTGCTTTTCTTTTTTTTTTTTTGAGACGGAGTTTCGCTCTTGTTACCCAGGCTGGAGTGTAATGGCGCGATCTCGGCTCACCGCAACCTCCACCTCCTGGGTTCAAGCAGTTCTCTTGCCTCAGCCTCCCGAGTAGCTGGGACTACAGGCGTGCGCCACCATGCCCAGCTAATTTTTGTATTTTTAGTAGAGACGGGGTTTCACCATGTTGACCAGGATGGTCTCGATCTCTTGACCTCGTGATCCACCCGCCTCGGCCTCCCAAAGTGCTGGGATTACAAGCGAGAGCCACCGTGCCCGGCCTTCTTGGTTGCTTTTCTAAAGTGAATTATAGAAAGAAGTTATTAACATTGCTCCCTCGTTGATATACTTCTGTGACTCTTGTTTTGATTAACTCTAACCCAGTTCTAGTATAAGGGCTAGTCCCAGAAGTGATTAGACGAGGCTTGAGTGAGTAGATGTGATGGATAAGGGAGGAGTCAAGGACAACCCACATTTCTGGTTGGGGCAACCAGATGGTTCCTATGTAGAGCTAGAAAACTCCATGAGGGTAGCAGATTGGGAACAGAGAAAGATGATGAATTTCTTCAGGGATTCTTTGCCTTAAAGGACCTTTGAGATACCTACCTAGAAATATCATAGTCATTAGTTGGATATGTGGGTCTGGAGCTTAAGGGAGAGGTCTTGGCATATTGGTTAGGAAAGAGACAAACACAGTGATGATAAATACATACACAGAACATTTTATTTAAAGTAAGTTAAATGTACTATTTCAAAGCTATGTTTTCTTCAGGAAGTCTTCTCTAAGAAAAACCATTTTTAAGTCAACTAACAGACTAAATGTGGATTAGTATGAGAGTGCAAGCAGTCTAGGTCCAGAGTCTAATCTCAGCAAAAGTCCTATGTAAAGACAGTGATAGATAAAGGAAGAATGAGAAATAAGACCTAGAGCAGGTGGTTTGCATGGGACAGAGATTTCACCTGGAAAGGTGACGGTGGAAGGCAGTGATTAGTTGAGACAATATGATGTCATGGTACACTAGCACTTACAAGAAACCTTCATCTTAGCAGTTCTCACTTTTGGTTCCTAGCTTTGATATCATTGTGCTTGAGTAAATGTTTTGTGAATTTCCAATGACCTATTGAAGAGAACAGAAAAGCTTATCCTAAATAATGGGTATAGTTCAATAAGGAGCTGTGTGATGAAAGAGAAATCTCTGATATTAACCTGAACCTTATGGTTTCTTTTGGCAGAACGTTCTCAGGTTGACCAGCTGCTGAACATTTCTTTAAGGGAGGAAGAACTTAGTAAGTCATTGCAGTGCATGGATAACAATCTTCTGCAAGCCCGTGCAGCCCTTCAGACAGCTTATGTGGAAGTTCAGAGGCTGCTTATGCTCAAGCAGCAGGTAAGAGTATGTGGAAGATTTAATGAAAATGGATCATCTCTGAAATTGTGTTTCATCCTGCCAAACCCATGGCTGTAGTCACCCCAAAAGCAGTGGCAGGGGAGTTCCCACAAGGGAAGTGCCCCAGACTGTGCCTAATGAGGGACAGTTAGGATTCCAAAGAAAGAAGCATGAAATGCCAGGGTGATGAGACCAAAGCATTTATTAGGAGAGCTTACTCACAGAGTAGGCTGCAGCAGTCCCCACAAGGGACAGCAAGTAAGGGGTGCTCTCCCTCAGTATATCCACAGCCAGGGGGCGGGATGTGGAGTTATATGAGGATTTAAGGAATTTGGCTCAGGACCAGGGCCAATTTCTTTCAGTGTTTTGGGCAACAACCTGGAAACTTTAATTAGTACCTGGGAATCTTCAAGGCCCCAGGTAGAGTTCAAGAGTGCTGGGGAAAACCTGTAGCTGGCTGGGTTACAGAGCAGTCAAGACACTCTGAATTTTGGTCAGGACATAGAAGAAAAGTGGGGAGATCTAGAGGATCCTACAAGTTGGATTTCAAAATGCTTAATAAAATACTTTATTTTTAGATAACTATGGAGATGAGTGCACTGAGGACCCATAGAATACAGATTCTACAGGGATTACAAGGTATTCAGAGGGCATCTGATGGATTGGGCCCTCTATAGATTGTTACTTTTTTGTTCTGTTTTCTTTTTTTTCTGGAGACAGATTCTCACTCTGTCCCCCAGGCTGGAGTGCAGTGGTGCAATATCTGCTCACTACAACCTCTGCCTCCCAGGTTGAAGTGATTCTTGTGTTTCAGCCTTTGAGTAGCTGGAATTACAGGTGCCCACCCCACCCCCAGCTAATTTTTGTATTTTTAGTAGAGACGGGGTTTTGCCATGTTGGCCAGGCAGGTCTCGAACTCCTAACCTTAGTTGATCTGCCTGCCTCAGCCTCCCAAAGTGCTGGGTTTATAGGTGTGAGCCACTGTGCTAGGCCTTTTTGTTCTCTTTCAGGGGAATGAAAAGTATTCATGAAAAGGTCATGTTATTTCTCTCCTGTCTCCTTGATTTCATCCTTTTTTTTTTTTTTTTTTT